CTGCAATTGTAGCTCTTCACTGACTAAAGTTGTAGTGAATGCGGCGAGATGGTTGGGGTATCCCTCTATTTTTTCTCCATTCTTCATATTCATGGGACGTAGAAACCTGAACCTTTCAGAGTTCTTTATCTCCCATGTAGAGCTGGTCTTTCCCATGCTTTACGGACAGCGGATACTTCTTTAAAGTTATGGGAATAATGACATAGACTCGGCCCTCCGAGCTCTTCTTGAGTTGGTGCGATCGCGGGTTCTCATAAGTTGTCTCATAGCCATCTTAGGAGAGTAGGCTATACAACCCACGAGGCCTAGTAATGGTATGCTCGGGTAATCTCCACATCGTATGAGAATATAAGCTGGGTCGGAACCAAGGGCATACCCGGGATATGTGTTCTATGTTCCATCTTTCCAACTCAGTTTTCCATTCTAGCACTTGACGATGCTAAAGAGGGATTTTGAAAAACTCCTTAAAGGATCGGGAAATACGCCCATATGGCTTGAGGCGTAGAAATGAGTAATACCCCACACGTATAGTAGTGAAGTGCGGCATCTAAGTGTTTTCCCCTGTTTACGTCGGCAAAAATCTACGGAAAGCGGGGTGTCGGCAAGGATTGCGGGTATAGGACTCTTTGAATACACATCCCGGGCAAAGAATGCGTCCATTGCGGCATGATCCACGATGTTCACATGGAATGGGAATAATATGATTCCGAACATTGCTAATGCTAGAGTCTTGTTGAATGTAGACCAGTCCTTCTTTTCGGCTAAAGAGATTAAGTGGTCTTCTATTATAGCCATTTTCCAACCTCCGATATTCCCTTTTCCCTCTAGGGTGGATTGATGAGGAGGCGGTCGTATAATAGTAGCAACCTTACTCACGGTCGTATATACTCCTGAGCAAATGTAGACCCCAACCGGCTGAGGCCATCGACCATGAGTTCATATTCTTCTATGGTTGGTACCAAGTCGAGCTGCGAGAACTCGAGCGGTGTAAATCGGGACTCCAGAAGTGGACCAATGCTCTAACAAATATTGGATCAATGCTTGATCTTTAGGAGGTCAAGAATTCTTCCATAAGACTTCTCAAAGCTAGCATAGACCTCACGCGGCATATATGTACACAAATGCCTTAACTTCTCTACACGGCATAGAAGGATCTCCACTTTCTTTAATTGTCTATTACCGGATCCCTCCATTATCTAGCAAAATTGAAAATGCATGATATGAGGATGAGTTTTTATAAATGCATGTATGCAAGTGTTTATTTTTCTAAGTATTATCATGTTTTATTCCTAATATGATGCATGATAATACCGGGTTTTCCTTGAAAGAAAAGCTTATCTATATGAATGTTTATGGATTTCAATGAAGAGAGTCCTATTTTCTTCCCCTTTTTTATTTTTATGAAGAAAAGGTAATATGAATTATAAGACTTTTGCTAATAATTTTAATTTTGTAACGAGAGGTATTTTTATGACTTTAATGCTGTTTTTATATTTTTTATGACCCTTTATCTCTTACGTCGGTCAACGTGGCTACTTAGCTTACAAAGAACACTGAAACCGAGGCTAGCTTAAGCGAAGGCTGTCAGAGATAAAGGTCTTTTATCTTTTCACTTTTTGTGATTTTTAGGGTTTTTCATTTTTTTGTTGTATGATTACCCTATGCTAATGCATCAATACAAATGCAGCAAACAAATGCACACACAATTCGTACATCCCCGAGCAGAGCCACGCTTATTTAATCACGAGGTAGGGTTTTCCTGCAGAAACGTGTTTGGTTTAGGTGGTTCTAGCTGTTCTCACCAGGCCAAAGGTCCCCAAGGTGCCCCCATTATAGGGACCTCTCAACTCTCAATCCTCGGGTCATGCACGGAACTCACGTGTCGACATCCTTAGATCAAAAGAAGAGAGTTATCACCTTGAGTTGGTGGTTTTTCGACAACGGTAGTAGCCCCGTGTGCCAACTAACCGATCGTATCGCCACCCACTCCCTATAGGTATTCACTCTTGCCCCCGGGTATAGAGGGACTGTTGTGTGCAAGGGTTTTTGTGTGCAATTTATATTTCAAACAATTGCGAAATAATCATACAACGATTATTTAAAGCCATACAATAAAAACATACAGAAGGGTAAAGGCGTAATTTCAAATCTTTGCTTAGTTTGAATTTATCCAGTCACTAAATGGGATCAACTCTCTAGCTTCCCCGGTGGAGTCGCCATCCGTCGCCGCCGTCCGTTCAGACGTCCGGGGACGTCTCGAACGTTCTACGAGCGGTCGCGAAAAGATGGTTGGACTCGCGTTTTTGTTAAAATTGTGTTCATTGCTTCGAGGTGTTCAACATCTGAACTATCCTCTAATAGAAGCAAGGTTTTTGAATAGGGGTTCTTTTGGAGTCGCCACCAATGTTTTGACCAGAAACATTGGAAAAGGAAAAAAAAGGCGTTGATTTTATTGAAAACCAACTTGGCCATTATAACCAGAGTCGGGTAAGGGAGTTAGTTACGTGTGGGGAAGGTATTAGCACCCCACAACGCCCCTTTCGGGTTCCTTATGACGGATTAATTCATTTAAGTCCAGATTACAAGAAATTACGTGATTACCCTTATTTTATTTATTTAATAAATATGGCTATCTACATGATTTACCTACATTGCATATAGAAGTAAATAAAGCAGTAAAGAAGAAGAGAATTGAGAAAAAACCTCCATAGCAAGCTTTATATTATAAGTCTTTTACAAAGAGGACGCGTTTCGCGGTCCTTCGCTCTATAGTGACTCTCCTCTCGATTACGAGACTCGACTCGACTAAAATTTCTAGAAGAATCGAATGCTGGAACACAAATTCCTTAGCTGATTGTTACCTATTAAAGGCAATCGGAAAGATCATTCGAGAGAGGGAGAGAAGAAGACAAGTCCAGGAAATGCTCAGGTGTGCGAGGTGTGTGAAATGAGACAAATGAGGCTCCTATTTATAGCATTTTTCGCTGCACGGGACTTTGGGACGTCCGTCCGGGTTGGGACGGCCGTCCCAAACGCGTTTTTCACGTTGTGCCAATGCTGGGACGGTCGGTGCGGGTTGGGACGGCCGTCCCAAATGCAATTTAACGAAGGCTGAGACCCCCTGGGGTTTGGGACGGCCGTCCCACATTCGGGACGCGCGTCCCAACTGCTTAATTGCAGTTGGGACGGCCGTCCCAACCCTGGGATGGTGGTCTCGGCCTGTTTTGTCCAGTCTTCGCGTTCTGGGACCCCGAGAAGCTTTCCTTTCCTTTTTCGGACATAGATTGATGCCGATGTGTGTCCGTTGAAGCTTTATCTTCATATAGGAAGTCTTCTTGGCCTTCATTAAGATGCCGGGCGAGCTTTGTCTTTGTGTAGGAAGTCTCTTTTGGTCTTTATTGTGTGAATGAGTGAACTCCGTCTTTTGTTGTGGGAGGTCCTTCTTGTTTTGGGAAGCCGGATGAACTCCATCTTCGGGCGAAGCTCCTCTAGCTTTTATTTTGAGAGGCCGGGCAAAATTAGGGGTCTACAACTGTCACTTCACACACACATCACAAACATATGTCTGTTGCTATTTTTTATGCAGGTGCAGTGGATATTTGTCTCCATCAAATATGGGGAGATTGAAACACTTTTTGGATTTGATGAAGACATATTAAAGTTTCATTATTCCGTTTGTGGGTGTGTAAGTAGATAGGTTATAGGTACATAATTTAATCTCTTGATAATTACAAAATATCTTGTGATAGCGCCTATAACTGTTGCATTTCATAGAATTTATCATACTTCATGAAAAACCAACCTTTAAGTTTTGATAGAACAAACTAAGTTTTTTAATCTATTAAAAAGTAGTTTTAATCTGTTAAAATCACTTAAAATAGGAAATGTATCTATACAGCCAATATTTTAATTGATTAAGTCGTAAAATCAATAGATTAAAATGTTCTTGATGGTTTTTCCATGTTAAGGGTTTTGCAATATTAATTTGTTAAATTGATAAATCAGTAGATTAAAATGTTATAAGTCATAATTCATGTTTTAAATACCTCAGATTTTTAATCTGTTAAAATGAGTTTTAATATGTTAAAACAGAGAACTACCATTTTTTCTTCTAGCAGTTTTAATCCATTAAAAGCTCAAATTAATCGATTAAAATTGTTTTAAATGAAATCAATCGATTAAAGCACCATTTCAATCAATTAAAATTGTCAATTTTTCTCTTTTACTCTATGAATACAATTTTGATTTCTCTTTTAAAACATACAATTTGGAAATCGATTAAAAGCAATCTTTGAGCTCTCATATTCGTGTGTTTTTCTGAGCATTCATACACATTCATATCATAAGGCGTTTTGATCAAGTTTGTTGAAAGATCTTCAAGAGAGGAAGTTCTGTGTTAGGAAATTTGCTTCTGGACTTCTGTATTACACAAAGCTATTGTCCAGGTTTATCTTTTCCAATACTTGTACGAATTTTGATTGTGTAGATTGGGTTTGAATATGCACTGGTTACAACGACTGAGTTTGGTTGCTGGGTGCACTAGTGCAAAAAGGGGCTTTTACGTCAGGTATTTAGGGCTTTTTACGTCGTATTTAAGTCCGACGTTAAAGCGGGAGACGTAAATTTACGTCGGACCCTTTTGCCCGACGTAAATTTACGTCAGTTATCCAGATCCGACGTAGATTTACACTAAACAGACGTAAAAACCTTTTCAATTTAAAAAAAAATAGAAAATTTACGTCGCATATGGTATACGCGACGTAAATTTACGTCGCATATACCAATACGCGACGTAAATTTACGTCGCATATACCAATACGCGACGTAAATTTACGTCGCATATACCAATATGCGACGTAAATTTACATCGCATATTGGTGGTGGCACCAGGTCTGTGTTGCCATACTCGAGCATAGTACAATGTTTTGAGAGCAAAGTCTCCATTCCAAGCTCGTCCATCCATCGGGGTGAATGAAGTCACCTATTTCGATTCCATCACAATGGTTCTTGAGAACTCCTTCCATGGCCTTCCAAGGTAGCTCCTGATCTTGTCCTTTACTGGGACCAGTTTGTCATCGGGTTTGATTGTGCACTTCTAGAGCACAATTCCAGTGGCTTGTTGCTTGTCCTCTCTCCCTTGTGTCTGTCACCATGTTCTGCTGGTTGTCATTTGGCTTCCTCACAACCATGATGCGGTTCCGGAACACCACAGCTGCATCACCAAAGATGAAGTCAATTGTGCCACTAACGATGCAGCTCTCTGTAGAACCGTCCGTGGGCTTGGACGTATAGAGTGTCTTGGTAGCCCTCAAAACGACGGTTGGCGAACACTTGCACGATCTGCCTGGACTCTTGCGACCACCGCTTGATGTCCATCGGGGCCTGCAGTGTTTCGAACCCCATTGCTAGGCCTATGAATCTGTCTCCCTCTACCACTCTGCGCGTGCATGTGCCAAAACAATATGTTACCCATTTATAATAATAATAATAAAAATATACATCACATGGTGAAGGGTGTTTAGTTTTAGACATGCTTGCGTACCAAAACTTGCAGTTAGGAAAGTCCTGACTCCGTCCCTGTAGTTTTTGTTACCGGTGATGATGGTCTTCTGGGATCCATCACCGTACATGGTTATATTTTGCATTTTCTTTGTTATTTTCACTGTCTCATCGTATATTCCCTCTTTAACAAAAATCACATACCTGCATTTTCAAACCCCAATAATAATTATACCTCAAACGATAGCAAATATACGTGCAGATATAAATAAGCTAGAGGCTTCTAGCTACGGGGTAGAGCGTGAGAGAGGCTAATTACCGTCCTTCATACTTTGCAGGGATAGAATTTAAACATTCAGAAATGGTTTTGAAGTTTCCACTGCCATCTTTTGCCACGGTAACATTAGGTTTAGGTTTGTTATCTGTGGCCTTCAAATAAACAAATTGAAAGCACGTTCCAACAACAATGGAGTGTGTAAACCGAATGCATTCAAACAAATAAACAAATAATTACATTCCAATAACAATCCAGTGGAGACATTCATACTATAACGTGATTGAGATCCCCAAAAACAATCACGGATTCAATGTAAACATATAGCAATGACATAGAACACTAACCTCAAGTGTAGACGAAACCGATTTCAAACTCGAATCCAATCGGGAGAAAGATCAAGTTCGTCAAATGACACGATAATATAGATGTTTTTCACTGTAAAACTGCTCGAAAATGGTGTGCAGAGGTAGCTGTTGTCGTCGTTCTCATCGTCATTCTCAAAAACCCTAGTTGCGCGAGACGAAGAAGTGGGTGTGGAGGGAAATAAAATAGACTTTTTACGTCGCGCATCCCAGCACGCGACGTAAAAAGCCATCTTTTACGTCGCACTTGGAGGGCACGACGTAAAAGATGGCCTTTTACGTCGCGTGCTGGAGGCGCGACGTTTACGTCGCGCCACCCAGGTGCGACGTAAAAGAAGCTTTTTACGTCGCATACTGGGATGTGCGACGTAAAATTTTTGTCTCATATTTACAAAATTGCCACCGCGTTTTATTTACGTCGAATATACATGCATACGACGACAATTGAGTGACGTAAAAGCCCTGTTCTGCACTAGTGGTGGTTTTCAAGAGTCTATCTTGTGGTGTTGTAAGGTAGATCTTGGGGTAGATTGGTTTGTATCTATTGGTTTGTTTTTTCACTTGGTTTTAGTGGAACTTGACAGGTTTGTCAAGAATTGGATGTAGCTCTTGGAAAGTGTGAACCAGTATAAAAACTCTTGTGTTGTATTTTTTCATTTCTCTCTTTCATTTCTATTTTATATTCTTGTTTTGTTAAAAATCAAATCTGCCTAATAAAAGATTGATTAATGGTTAATCATTCTTCCACAAAGAAAGCATTTTTCAAAAAGGTTTCAAAGTTCAATTCACCCCCGCTCTTGAACTCAACCATTAATTCTTACAGATAGGGTCGGGTCGGAACCAAGGGCAAGCCCAAGATAGGTGATCGATGTTTCATCGTTCGAACTCGACTTTCCACTCCATGGTTAGACGTCGGTGGAGAGGGATATTTGAGAAGCTTCTCAAAGGATTAGGGAAGATCCCCATGTGGGTCGAGACGTAGAAGTGCATGATACCCCAAACGAATAATAATGAAGAGCAACATCTGAGCGTTCTTCCTTGTTTTTGGTGACAAAACTCAACCGAAAGCAAGGTGTCGGCAAGAAGTGCAAGCAAGGGACTCTTTGAGTGTACGTCCCAGGCAAAAAAGGCATCCATAACGACATGATCTACTGTGTCGAGGTGAAAGGGAAATAATATGTTCCCAAACACAATCAACGCTAGGGTTTTGTTAAAGACAAACCAATCTGCCTTATCAACCAAAAAGGACAGATGGTCTTCTAGCATAGTAACTTTCCATCCCTGGATATTCCCTCTTCTTACCAGGGCAGCCTGATGAGGTGGCAACTGGATGATGGTGGCGACCTTGGTTGCAGGAACATATGCTTCGTGACGAATATGGATCCTGGTTGATTTGGGCCATCTTAGCATGATCTCATATTCCTCCAAAGTCGGTACCAGATCAAATTGCGGAAATTCGAAGCAATGTAGACTGGAATTCCAAAAATGGATCAAAATCCTGACGAAGATAGGATCGACACAGATCTTCAGAATATCGAGAATCCGCCCATAGGATTTTTCAAAATTGGAGTGGACCTCAGGTGTCATCGTCGTGCACAACCATTCTATCTTCTCTACATGGTATCGGGAAATATCTACTTTCTTCAACTGTATATTACTATATCCCTCCATTTTCCTAGAAACAAAAAAAGGCATGCTATGAGTATGATGTTTGTCGCCGCCGTCTAAAAAGAGAAGAGGCGGTCGGAGCGACGCGATGGTTTCGACCCTTTTGATTTTCACGTTTTTTATGGGTGGTTACAACGCCTTTAGGTTGTCCGATAACCGGGCTAACCTAGGGGCGAGGTTTTCGAAAGGGCGTCCTTGGGTTGTCCGATAACCGGGCTAACCCAAGGACTAATTTTGTAGCGTTCTGTAGAGTCGCCACCGATGTTTTTACCAGAAACATCGGGAAAGGGGTTTTAAAAGGCGTTGGTTTTCGAAAACCAACTTTGGTCATTAGAACCAGAGTTGGGTAAGGGAGTCAGTTACGTGTAAAGGAAGTATTAGTTCCTTTACTACGCCCCTTTCGGGTTCCCTATGATAGGCCAACTACTTTGTTAATAAATAAACTGGAAAAATACGCTTTTGCCCTTTTTATTTTGCGAAATTTAAAATTATGACTACATGGCCCTAATCTATTACATAATTTAAAATTAATGCAGTAAAAGTAGAGAGGGAGAATTTAAACCTCCGAAGCAAGCTTTCTTTTTTATTTCTTTAACAAAAATGGGTGCTTTTTGGCAGCCCCTCACTCTACACGACGCTGGAAACTCTTCTAGACGTCGAAAAAACGCTCACAAAGGCACTCAGAAGCTCTGGAAATGCGTCAGAGGGATTCTAGAGAGAAGTTTTTAGAGAGAAGGGAGAGCTAAAGCTGTGTGGTGTGTGGAAATGAGGGGAGGGAGCCCCTATTTATAGGTTTTCGCGCCTGACAGTGGCGAGACCGCCGTTCTCGTCTGACAGGGTCGAGACCGCCGTCTCGTCCTTCGCAGGTGGCGAGACCGCCATCTGGGAAAGCGAGACCGCCGTCTCGCCATTCGCAGGTGGCGAGACCGCCGTCTCGCCAAACGAAACGGTGGTCTCGCCATTTGCATGAGGCGAGACGGCGATCTCGATTTCGAGACGGCGGTCTCATCCCCAAAAAGGCGAGAAACCTTATTTTTGTGCCGAAAATCCTTCCTATCCTAGTATGGGGCCTAATAGTCTCTCCTAGTGGCTTTTTAGGCTTCATCCATCTTCGAATAGGATGTCTTCTACTCTTTATTTGGAGGCCGGGCAAGATTTGGGGTCTACAGCTGCCCCCCCTTTACCCGACCAGTCGACTGCCGGCCTTTTGTGCCCAGGTGATCGACTGGAGGGTAAAGGAGTTGACCCTCTTGCCCGGTTGCCCGTCAGATGCTCCGTCTTTGCGGCGGACGATCCTCTGGGGAAATGTTGTGCGCTTCCGGGATGCTCCTTTGACGCGGTAGCCGACCCCTTCAGCTGATGAGTATGAACCCCCATCTGGTTTGATAAGTATGAACCCTCGCCCGGTAAGCCCCCTTTTGTAAGGCTTGATGAGTATACACCCCCATCTGGTGTTTGACGAGTATGAACCCCCGTCTGGTAAGCCCCCTTTTGTAAGGCCTGATGAGTACACACCCCCATCTGGTGTTAAGCCTCTAGATGCTCCATCTTGCGGTAGCTGATCCTTTGGTCGTGGTGGCGGCTTACTGCTCTAGCTCATGTGCCGTCTGTTGAGATGTGTTCTCTCGTCGTTGATTTGGTCGTCCGGTCTGCGCCGGGGATTTCGTTGGTGTTCATCCAGCTCTATTGGTTTGCTGGGGATTCTTTGTTTTGATCCTTTTGATAGTGGTCATTCGACTTTGCTGGTTGTCGGGGATTTTTGATGAGTGCCTCTTAGGTAGGTAGGAATCCTCTGGGGATTTGTTGATCTGAGTGACGCCTCTTGAGTAGGCAGATATCCTATTCAGTTTCTGGTAATGCCTCTGAGTAGGCAGACACTTCATCGGAAGTGAAGACTTTTGGTTTCATTTGTTTTACCTCTGACTAGGCTGATATTCCCCTATGGGGATGTTGGCTCTTGCTTGCCAGGTCTTGCCTGTGCAAAGGCAAATGACATTCTGAGGATGAATATGAAGTTTTGCCTTTGCAGTAGGCTCACTAGGGATGATCTTTCTCTTTTTGGTGATCCACCGGGGAATTGATTGCCTTCCCGGGGATCTAACTTTGATTTGCCCCCTAAGGGAATGGAGTTTTGACTCCTTGTTTGATGTTGTTGGTATGAGATGGCTTTGTCGATACTCTTGTTTCATTGGGATTTCCGATTCCTTCTTTGTTTTCCTTTTTCTGAGTAGACCTACTTAGGGAGCAAGGATTTTTATTTGATTTCGCCTTTTTCCGCATTTTACCTCTTTTTTATCGCGATTTGAATTTTGGCTTTTTCGGGATAATGCGTAAGCCTTTTTACTTTTTAGTTTCTTTTTATTACGCTGGCTTTTTCCCTTCTTTTTGGGGGGTCCACTAGGGATTACGTTTTATTTCTTTGGTGACCTACCAGGGAATAAGTTGACTTCTTGGGGATCTGATTTTTCTTTTCTAGGGATGGAGTCTTGGCTCCTTGATTGATGTTGGTGCGAGCTAAGCTTGTGAAGCTCTTATTCCACTGGGGGATGGGAATTTCTTGATT